TCTTAAAGAATTTAGAATTTAATAAATATATTTATTAATTTATAATTATTAATTATCAGATGTTCTAGGATTAGAATTAAGTTTTGCTAAAATTTTTTCTCTGTTCATAGGAAATCTTACAATAAACATTTCCATAATTTTTCGATTATATGATATAATATCTTAAGGATTTTTTGGACCACTGTTATAATTTTTAACAAAAAATCTTTTTCTTCTCTAGTAGTTTCTCTTTCAATAATTTCTTCAATATTACCAAATGTAAGTGAACAAAAACTCATAAATAACATTATATCTTCATTTTTTACTTTTTTTTTAATTTCACATAATTTCTGAAATTCTTTTTCAATTTCTTCCTTTGAACATGACATTTTTATTTTTGTTATACAGAAGATAAGTGTTTAATGTTTTTGTATGAAGAACCAATTAGTTTTATAGATTTTTTAAAGTTTTTTATTAATACTTTTATTGGTTAGAATAAATAATAATAAAAAAGTATAAAAACAGTATCACAACAATGTCACGATAACATAATATTTAAGATAAATAAAAAATAAGTAATTCAGAATTTTCTTTCAGTTGAATCTTTTTTTTGAAAAGTAATTAATTTAATAAGTTATTTATGCTTTTATTAAAAAATATATTAATATTTGTTTTTATTTAGTATAAGTACAATTGCTGGTGTTCTAAGTTTTATAGAAGATAAGAAAAATTTCAATGTACAAGGTTTTCAAAACACTGATTTTTTAATAAAAGTTGAAAAATTTGAAGACCAAGATATTCAAGCAAGAATGTTTTTTCTTGATGGTGACCTATTAGTAGAACTTTTTGATATTCCTGAATATATTGAAGTTAAAGAAATCAATGAAGTTACAAATAAGATTAAACTGATACAACTTTTTTTTAGAAGTAATTATTTTATGATTAATCATTCTAAAAAATATGAAGTTTATTATAAAGACAAAAAAATTTTTGTATTAATTCCTGAACAAAAAAGATATATCATTCACAATTTTGATAAACCTGATAATTTGAAAGATTATGAAGTTCAAAAACGAATTACTAAAGCAATTAAAACTATTATTAAATTAGAATAGCAATATATTTTTATTTAAAAATATACATTATATGTAAAAAGTTACAAATTATTATATTCTATTTTTTGTTTATATTTTTTATTTCGTAATTCTTTTCTTTGTTTTTTTCTTTCTTCTTTTAA